GCAGGAATGGTTCTGTTGGTCTCAGATTCTTGAAAGTATTGTAGAGTTTCCTAAAAGTTGTGCTACATGACAGGTTAAATAAGGCAAGAACATGTTAACGTATCTTAAATGTTTACATAATTTACTTCCATATGTTAGCATGTTCTTTGTACAGTTTATATACCCTGACTCTATGCTGCCTGATCAGCATTGTAGCTCATAAAGACTGGTAAATCTAATCCCTGTAATTTTTAAAGAGAGGAATTCTCTGCATGGAAAAAGGACCTGAAAATTTTCTCCCAATATTTTCCTCGAATATCAGATTTCTTTAATAGAAGCTTTTTTGTTGTTTATTGATTTCTTTGCAGCCACGTAGAACTTCCATTCTACTGGCAGATAATGAAGCCCAACCTGAAACCATTAATACCAGAAGAAACTGCAGACTTCATGAAGGTCAGATACAACCAAGACACAGAGTCAGCCTTCGTCCTAGATCCTGAGGAGGGAGTTTTGCTTCCCTGTACAGATCATGAGTTTATTCTCACTTACACTCCACAGGAGGTATGGCTTGTGATTCCTTCTTATCTACAAACTCCAGCTGTGTATTTTTATGCAAGTCATAAAATCCTTGCTGTGCAGCTTTCTAAATGAAATTTAATTAGCTGGTACCATGCTCTGATAAACAATGTTCAAAATGTAGAAAGTTACTAAAAGAAAACATGTTTTGACTGCAAAATGTGAGACAGTTCTTGATCTCATTTGGTCATTTTTGGTACTGACTTTAAACAATTTTACACTGGAACTATGGCCACATCCTCGTAGCTGCAGCTGTGTTGGCTGGTAAAGTTGCCACCCTCCACCACACTACCAGCTCCTCCACAGTCTCCTGACCCTTCTCCTTCTGCTTCTGCTAAGCTGCATTGAGGTGTGCCCCATACCTACTGCAGCCTAAGTAAGTTTGGTTAGCAAACTGATCATTTAAACTGTTTTCAACTGTAGCTTTTAGGGGCTGAAGTGGGTCTTATGAACAGCTGTGTGATAAATTAAGAGGATAGTAGTAGCCTTTGGCAGAGAAACGATGGCTTACAGCTGTGGGTAAAGGGGTGCAACCATGTTTGAATGCAGCTGGACCAGTAACTGTTGTCCTAGTTTCTGCTCCCCTGTCTGTGTAAATAAGGAGCATGAGCTCACTGTATTAAAGAAACTTGATCCAACGTAAGCCCAAGAGTGGGAATATCCCATGCTGTTGTGATTGACAGACATAGGAATACCTCAAATAAGTATGGAAGAGAAACTAACTGGGTATTTTAAATACTTTAATTAGTTCATAGCAAAATATATTGAATATATATACACTTAAATTAATATCTCTCTACAAACAAGTGAATCTTTTGCAAAGCCCTTCAGATTTAAGGCTTGCTTCTGTGTTTCCTTCCCCCCCCCCCCCCAATTAGAATACAGAAGGCATCTTCTTTTCCCATGATGGAAGAAACTTTGAGTTAGTACAGCAGTACTGAGCTTAATTTGGGGAGCCTTTCAGATGCTTGTGTGTAGTATGCAATATACTAGGGAAATAACTGGCATGCCAAAAATGAGTATTTTTCTTGGAACCATACATACACCATGAGATCAGAATCTGGCTTAATATTTTGGAGTCAAACATGTTTTAGCAACTCTAGAGTCTGAATATTGTTTATCAGAGCTTAGTACTCCAATGATGAGCATTCATCCTTTAAATGTAAACTACTTTTTCATCTTGGTTGACGAGAAGCTCAGCGTGAGCCAGCACCATGTGCTTGCAGCCCAGAAACCACCTGCATGAACAGCAGGTCGAAGGAGGTGATTTTCTCCCTCTCCTCCTCTCTTGTGAGACCACCTAGTTCTGGGACCTCCAAAAGAAGAAGGATGTAGACTTGTTGGACTGAGTCCAGAGGAGGCCACAAAGGTGATCAGGTGGCTGGAGCACCTCTGCTGTGGAAACAGCCTGAAATAGATAGGCTTTTTCAGCCAGGAGAAGAGAAGGCTCCAGGGATACGTTAGAGCAGCTTCCAGTACCTAAGGGGGCCTACGGGAAATCTGGAGAGGGACTTTTTCACACAGGCCTGTAGTGATAGGACAGGGGGGAATGGCTTTAAACTGACAGAGGGGAGACATAGATTAGATCTGAGGAAGAAGTTCTTCCCTGTGAGGGAGGTGAGGCATTGGCACAGGTTGCCCAGAGAAGCTGTGGCTGTCCCATCCCTGGCAGTGTTCAAGGCCAGGTTGGACGGGGCTTGGAGCAACCTGCTCTAGTGGAAGGTGTCCCTGCCCATGGCAGGGGGTTGGAACTGGATGAGCTTTAAGTTCCCTTCCAACCCAAACAGTTCTGTAATTCTGTGTTTCTCTGATCCTCTTTTAATCCTCAACATAACTGATTACTTCGCATTAAAATCCTCTTCTCCATCTGTGTAGCTGAAGAGTTATCACAGTGTGATTCAGATGGTACTGGTGGACGTCCCAGGATCACCTCGGTAAGCTGAGAAACAGTATTCCCTGATAAAATGTTTAGCCACATTTTAGCTATGCTATTGCATTAAATTACGAAGATTCTTCATCTTTCTGATGATGACGGACTCACAGTAACAAGGGGTTTTGTCTGCACAACTAATTGTGCACAAAGCATCTCTGTGATCTCATGTCTGAACACAGGCCTTAGCCCTAGTTAGGGTTGCATCTCTCCTGGAAAAAGATAATAGTGTCATTTTTCTCTGTGCATATTCCAGGCTTTCTACTGAGATTTCCAGCAGGTTTTCCTGTTATTAGTGTTTTTCACAGCTGTCTGTGACTTGTGTACTTATTCATGAACAGACTGGGACAACTAGAGTATGTTGAAGAACTACTGTAATTTTTCCAGTTTTCGATTGTCGCCTCCTGAGATAACTGCACTCGGCAGCCTGAACTTGAGAAACTTTTGATGATTTTAGTTGTGATCTGGCAATTAGAAGATGGGATCCAGTTTGAACACCAGTTTAAGATGCTTAATAATTCTACCATATTTTCTCCTAAAGTTTAGTAAAAGATGAGATGCTTCAAAACATCCCAGAATACAAAACAGAGGACGTAATAGCACTGGGAATAGAGGTTAAAGGACTAACAGAAGCATTTCATCTTCTTCTGGAACCATACGCCATTATCATCCCTGGGGAAAACTTTATTGGTGTAAACATCAGGAAAACATTTAAGGTTTGTTTGCTTTTGACTTCATTGTTATTATGTGCTTCGTGTCACTAGATGTCATATGTGTTAGTAGAAGAGATCAGACAATCCATGTTATTTTAGTTTTCTTAAATACTTTTAAGAGGTGTCATGGCTCCAAGAAGGTCTGTACAAAAATCCCTTAGCAAGCCTCCTTAGCCCTACACTCCAGGCAGCAGGCTTTCTTCTTTCTTCATCTCTCAAGTGTGACCACAGAGTTCTTACTCTTCTATATGTTTTTCTGGGTCACTAACCTGTTGCTTATCACTTTGTCACTCCCGTAGTGTAAAAGTTTTCCAGTTGGGAGGAATAGCCAATGGATGATTATATTACCTCATAAACAAAGGCACCATTTGTGCAAAGAACTACCACAAGCACAGAAGAGCTACAAAAGACACAAAAGCTGCAGCTTACTAGGCCTTATTTCACTTGCCCCATAATGGGACAGATTTCTGCTGCAATTTTCCACTTGCTCAGTGTCCTTTTCACTATATCAGGATCCTTTTGATCTTGAACTCATTTGTGAAAAATAGGCCTTCTACTAGAGCCAGGCAGGAAGACATTTCCCATCTAATGGTCTTCCCATTTTTCCTAAAAGATACTGCTAACTGGCATTTAGTTTCATCCTTTCTCTTCCAAGAAGTTCCCTTTCAACTTAAGACAAACATTTCATACTTTCCAGTTATCCAGTGTTGCTACATGTGCCGTATAGGTAATTGAGTAATTTACTGATAATATGATATAATGAAATTCCTCACAGTTTCCAATTGGCTTTTTAGTCTTAGAAGAATTTAAACTGTATTTAGAGATAATTGTGCTTCAGAGAACAATGTTATTTGCTGTAATTAAGAAATAATGTCTGAATAGATCTGAAGAGCAGACCAAAGATTTCAAGAGCTCACAGCTCCCTCACAAACAGATCCTTCAGCAAAAAAAAAGGTTGCTCTCAGAAGAAAGACGTAAAGTTTAAGTTAAGAAGTTCTGTTACACTTTTGAAAAATAGGGGAAAAGTTTAAAAGGCTTCAAATATGATAATGTTCTTGGAAAGAATGGGTTTTCTTTAGATTTCAGAAAACACTTTCACCTCTGTGAAGATAGCCACTGTGCTAAATATAGTGCTGTATAATCTCGCTACACATAGTGCTTTCAGGATAGATCTCCACATCTGAGCTGCCTTAGTCCCCAGAGATCTCATTAGCAGCATCCAAGGGGTGATTGATCTTATCCTATAGGTTAAAATAGGTTAGCGGAATTGCTCCCAGCACTCACTAGTTGGCTTTATTTTCAGTGAAAAGAATCCTAGGACATGAGGTCAATTGTAGCTCTTCCATCTATTTCTGCAGACACCTGAAATCCAGTCAGGTGAATCCCACTTCTCCTTGTCCTTGTTTTACATCGGAGGAGAACGAAAAGGGAGGATACAGCATTACCATGAAAATAGCAGTGCATGGCACTGGGTTAGTACTGTTCAAATCAGAGGTTAGGTGAAGTTCTGTGCCTTTCCACTCCTACTATGTGCAGTTAATGTTAAAACGCAGGTGAAGATGCAGTATATTGTAGCTAGATTCAAGGTGTGTTATTAGGTTTTGATGTTTAGTGGCGATGAACATATGGTTAGAGTTTGCAAAGTGTGTGATGTAAGACTTGCAATACCTTGTTTACAGCTTACAGTACACTACTTGTCTCATGGACTTTGTTTTAGATGTGGAATAACAGCAAGTCACTGATCGAGTACACATGGGAGAAAATTGTGTCCTGTGACATCATGGAAGTTGAACCTCACACTGGCGTCATAGGTAAAGCTTCTGTGACTTGCAAGCAACAATTAATGACAGAAATACTTAAACTGGTATGAATGGAAGAGTCACAGAGCACTACAGTGCAACTGGAGCCCTCAAGAGACTTCATTTGGTTCTAGGAGCTTCGAGAACAGGCTTTTGCAGTAGGTGGTTTCTTTTTCTTTGCAAAATGATGAGCAGGACCCTGAACTTTTTCTTTTCTAGATGTGAATAAATGCTGTGAATTTGAACTGCTAATTATTGGAAGCAAACCTGGGTCCATCAGCCGTAACCTGCAGTGTAAAATTGAACCCTGTACAGAACCGGTTGTGCTGCATGTGGAGGCTGCTTTTAAGGTATGCAACAGTTCAGTGTTACAGGATAACTAGCTGTGGGGCCTGGCCATTGTCCATATACAGCTTTTTGCCTCTTAAACGCGTGACAAATCTAAAGCATTTACAAACAGGAAGTATTTTTACTGTCTAGTAACTACTGAAGCAATGTTGATACTCCCACAACAATAAGAATTTTTCTGCATTACACGCAATGCATTTGCTTTCTGCTGTTCTCTGTAAAATTGAATGTTAATCTTAGATAATTTATCCTTCTTAATTAGGCAGTTTTGGCAGAAGTGTCCAGTCTGACATCTGTTTCCTTGTGTCCTAGGGTCCACTTCTTCATGTTGACGTTCCATCTCTCCAGTTAGGTTTGATTAAGCAAGGTGAGAGTGTGTTGCAAACCTTTAAGGTTCAAAACCTGTGTCAGCTGCCAGCACCATGGAATATGCAAGAAAGCAAGGTTTGTCTAGCTGAAAGGAATGAAGAGGTAAGTTACTTCTATAGCTGGTTATGCTCCTTCTTTAGCTATTTCTTCCTTATACTTAGGAATTGTGATATTGAGATATCAAAAGTTCTAGTTTCTGTGGCTTCTTATGAAACTGGATCTGCACAGTTCCATAAATGCATAAGATCTTTTGAGATTAAATGTTTCTTTGCTATTTTCTCTATTTCCATTTATTACAAATCCTCTGATCCAAAGAGGCATGGAGTATTTTCTCTATGACAGTGATTTCAGCTGCTACGTAGATAAATAAAAGGGTGAGACTTTGTCAGAACTGAGGCTGCTAGACACTCCTCCTGCACACCTACATCTCAGACAAGAATCTCGGCACCTACTGAATTGGGCCTTTTGGTTTTAAACAATAGCTTTGCAATATGCAGGTGTGTCCCCAAATAACTTCTTACCACAATGAATACTATAACTATTGTTTAGTGCTATTTAGACTGTGATGTGCCAAATGCAGTCCATTTCAGTCTTTGACTTCAGAGCTCATTCCACCATTTCATATGAAATAACTGAGTAACTTAAGCATCTTGAAGGTAATACTTATGGCAAAGAATTGAGGGAGAGTACTTTTGATTATTTGGGCACACATAAAAAAGTGAGCTTTGTAGCTAGGTTTCTCCTTGATGTTATGTGTTAGAGGGGAATGGGGAAATTCAGACTCTAGGTAAGTGCTTTCTGTTGTAATGACAGACCAGATTCTGCCTGGGGGTATACCCGTGAAAGGAAATTAATTAACTTATTTCCTGGCAAAATTGGTCTAGATCCTGTTCAGGTGTTCTCGTTTTTTGGTTGGTTTTGCAATGGACAGAGGAGCTTGTTAAGCAGGAACTTCTATCAACCATCAGGAGATAGAAGCCTGCAAGAAGTTGTACTGTATCCCCATGACTTCTTGAGTTTTGGCTTGGTTCCTCTGCCC